TTTTGCAGCCAAATTCTACGTCGAATTATTTATCTAGGGAACCTGATCAGAAAATATAGAACATTATTATTTAAATATACAATACAAGTGCTAAATGCCTTTACATTGTTCAATAAATTAAGCCTTATTCACTGTATATGCCTACGTCTATGCTAACATAATCTTACTTATAAAATGACCGAATAACATTCTTATTCTGCGTATTTCGACACGCTATACATTTCCTCTCCATCGTAAAAGTCCTTATTAAAAAGTTCAGGGTTTAAATTATTCTTGAAAACTACAAAAAACACAATAAAACTTGATCTGTCACTTTGACAACACCAGCAAAATGTCTTTAGGTTGCCAAACTTAAAGGATATATACCAGAAGTGATTGCAATTAATAAAAAACTCATATTGATGCTTTCAATTCCTTATTTCCTTTTTTTATTAGATTGTACGAAGGTACGAAGGAGTAGAACCGCCACAAAAATTTTTTTTTTCAAATTCCGACTTGTATCTCGGAATTCCGACTTATATCTCGGAATTCCGACTTGTATCTCGGAATTTCAACTTGAAACTCCGACTTGTAACTCGGAATTCCGAGTTGTATGTCGGAATTCCGAGTTACAAGTCGGAATTCAAGTTAAGAAAGCTGAAATCACAACTGATATTGAATCAATACCTCGATTAAACGTGCTGTGTGTTTTGATTCGCATTTTGGACTAGGTAATAAATTTCTTAAATGTAGTAAGTGTAACATATTATTATTATTATTATTGTTATTATTATTGTGTTTTAGCGTTCAGTTATTGAGACAGAGTACATCTCTATTCATGGCTCTATGAGTTCCTCGAATAATGTAAGTAACAAAAATCTTAATGTGAATAATTCTATGCATTTATAATATATTTCGATTAATAAACAAAATTTATTTACCAGTCAAGTAATACAGAAGATCTGGCAAAGACATATTTTTCATATGGATTTCAGCAAAAGGAAATTTTACAATTCTTAAATATATTGCACAATAAGCGTGTTTCCCTTCGTATCTTGCAAAGAATTTTGAAAAAACGTCAACTATATAGACGAAAAAAATATTCCAAAATCGAAGAATTTTATAGGAAGCGAAATTAAAAAATGTGGACAACTTCATGGATATCGATGGATGTACTTAAAATGTCTCCAAAAAAATCTTGTAGTCACCCAAGATATCGACAGAGAACTGCTTGGATTGTTAGATCCGGAAGGTGTGAAAATTAGAAAACGATTAAGACGTCGACAATATCACAATAAAGGTCCAAACTATTTATGGCACATTGATTCATACGATAAACTAAAACCATATGGAATTTGTATTAATGGTTGCATTGACGGATTTTCTAGACATATAATTTGGCTTCGAGCGGGACCTACAGCTAGTGATCCAAAGGTAAATTAATATAATTATTAAGCATTCCAAACAGAATGGCTGTCGGTGGTAAAGGGTTTGGTATATCTAAGAGGTTGCGACATACGATGTATTCTATCTACAACAAGTGAAATCATGAAACATTGATTAAATCTTTTATGTCGAACCCAATGAAAATTTTATTTTTAAATTAACTATTTAAACGTTTTTCATAAATTGACAGGTTTGACGACTACTATTTCGAATAAAAATAGCGTCCAATCTGGAAGGCTATAGCGCAACCCCCTTAGATATACGAGCCCTTCCCACCGAGACTTATTGTTTAACAGGTCGTTGAAATGTCAATTATTACTCTTTCTACTGCAGTCGAAGTAAAACATCATAAATTTTTCTGCATTCTGTAGAATTTTTTGTTGTAGGTTATTGCAGGATATTACTTAGAAGGAATAAAAATGGTTGGTGGTTGACCTAAAAGTGTAAGGTGTGATTTAGGTACCGAAAATAAAATAATTGAGAAGATCCAAACTCCTTCTTCTAAACCGTATTTTTTATATGGATAAAGTGTGCATAATCAAAGAATAGAAGCATGGTGGTCTATTTTGCGAAAACATAATACACAATTTTGGATGAATTTTTTTCAAACGTTGAAAGATGAAGATTATTTTTGTGGTGATTTTTTGGATAAGTCTCTCGTCCAATTTTGTTTTATGACTCTGATTTAGGTAAGAATTCTTGTTTAAAAAGTAAAAATACTATAAATTTATTAAATAAATCTCAAAAGAGATTATTATTATTATCATTATTATTAATAATATTAATTATTAATTTAAGGAGGACCTCAACGAAGTTGTTATGGAGTGGAATGTGCATAAAATAAGTAAATCTAGAAATAGTATAGCACCTACTGGAAGACCTGCAATAATGTTCGACATATCGTCTCTTTATGGAGCAAAGAACTATTGTGTTGAAATTACAAATTTTTCTGTTGATTCCCTTTCCGATCACTGCACATTCAACGAATATCCATGTGACAAAGACATATTATTTGTGCAGAATTTTAATTTCAGAAAACAGATACCCACCAGTGAAAGATCATAATTCAGCATTATATTTATACATACAATTAAGAAATTTAATTTTATTATTAATTAATTGACTTGTTACTTTGTATCGAACAGATAATAAATATGTATTTTAATATATTTTTTCTTTGATATTTGGAATAAATACACAAATTAGCTAAGAGTTTTTAATTTAATTAATGAAAAACATAAATAAAAATATGAAAATAAAAACAAGCTAAACATTCATGACTTTAAAGGGTATCCTGAAAAACCATTAATAAAAACTATAAAAACAAATTATACAATATACAACAACAAAACACTAAACAAACTAAATAATATCCTTTATATTAATACAAAACACCCTGCAGGTAGTTATACATATTTGACTTTTTTCACATCGTCAAAAATTAATCAAAAACATAAAAATAAAAGTATTATACAATTTAAACAAACTAAATAATATTGATATTAACAAGATATCCTGCAAAAACCGTAATGAAAAACAAAAATAAACATATTAAACAAATTAAATAAACAATAATATCCTTAATATTTATTTATATTTATTCTGGAATAACAACTTAAAGAACCTACATAATACCCTCGATGTTTGTTTACAGAATTTCATAGAAAAACCTTAAAATATTTAGGGAGTAATTCTCACATGAAATTAATCCAAAATTCTATATTATAGATAAAGTTTTATACATGGTGTTCCATTAGTGCGTAATTGTTCAATATTTCAATTTGTGTTATTGACACGCAAACAAGTTTCGAATAAAAGTTGTATGGATTTAAAAAATATGTGATTTAAAAATATTTTTGTCTGGCAAATAAAAATGTATATTTTCGTATTTCTAATAATAAAACAACTATCGATCAATTACGCATATTGGTATCGCTGTATAGACAAATTTATAAGGGATTTTATGCTAAGATAATATACATTGAAAGAATTAAGTAAATTGAACTTAATATTAGTCATATTTAAGCAATGTTTCAGAACAAACCAGTTCTATTACCACTATTCGCTAGCTTACTATCTTAGTCTATTTAATTAACAATTTCAAAAATTTAAGAAATTCATTATCTACTCCAAAATGACAATCAAAATACACAGCATGTTTAATAGTGGTCTTTATTCAATATCAATTGTGATTTCAGACCTCTGAATTTAAATTCCGAGTTGTATGTAGGAATTCCGAGTTGTATGTAGGAATTCCGAGTTGTATGTCGGAATTCCGAGTTGTATGTCGGAATTCCGAGTTACAAGTCGGAATTCCGAGATACAAGTCGGAATTCCGATTTGTATGTCGGAATTCCGAGTTATAAGTCGGAATTCCGAGTTACAAGTCGGAATTTCGAGATACAAGTCGGAATTTGAAAAAAAAAAATTTTGTGGCGGTTTTACGCCTTCGTAGTACGGTAACTTTTTTAATAAAAATTTAATGTTTGATATTTGAAAAAAGAGATCTGACAACATAGGAAGAGCGTACCGTCAAAATTAAAGTTGCGGACAAGTGTAATGTATACAAGGCGTATCTATTATCCGATATCTTTGCAACGACCACAAAAAATTAAAAAAAAAAAGGTAAAAATAAACCCCAAAATAGAGAAAATGGTATAAAACACACGTTGCAGAAGGCTATGTGGAATATGTGACCTTCTATTGTATGTTACACCGGTGATTTGAGATATTTTCCTCTTATTTATCTGGTCACCTTTCCGTTACAATACTAAACTGTGAACATGCATATAACCTGAATTGATTAAAATATTAACCCTTAAAAGGCATCAACATTTCCATTGAGACCTAAAGTCAACACCCATCCTACATGTCAAAATAATAGAAACCCAAGGGACGACTTAGCCAGTCATCCTCTCAGTGGGTGGTATCTGGTGAAAGAATGAACATTCTACCAACGTGTGGTAGGTAGGAAAGGTATAATGAGTGTCTACAGAATGAAGACTTAACTCTCTAAATAGGTGGCGCTTTATTGGGTGTCATTACTGAAAAATTTTGTATTTTTTCAAGCAGTAGCGGATCCAAAAATTAAGAAGAAGGTTTTAATACAAACTTTATATTTAACATGATTGCTTTTATTTCAGATTGTACTGAGTAAACGTTGAAAATTAAATATCTAATGAAAAAATAGAAGGAGAAAAATGGGAATCCATATGTATTGTTTAAACATTGTCAAAATCAGATTTAAATCTTTAATTGTAGTAAAAAGTTAGTAAAATATAAATGGATGAACGCAATTTTAATGTAACTTCATAACTTCGACTAATGGTCATGGTCAGTCGTTCTGAATAGACGTGAATTCCGAGGCTCCTGAAATTATTTAAAATAGTCAATATTTATATGAATTATTTAGTTTTTTTTAATACTTAAGGCTCAACAAAGTAGTGATTACTCGGTGTGCAAAGATAGAACTTCAAAATTGCATTAGGAACTAAGAAATTTGAATTATTTGTATTTATTGTGCTCAGAAGAGAAATAAGTATAGTGTACCATACACGTGGAATATTTGATTCAACATGCCCACATCTAGAAGCCAATCAGGAAGTGTAATAATGGATGAAAACCTAATCGAACAGTTGAGTGTTAAGGTATGTCAAAGATTGGAAGATCATTTAAATAAAAAACTGGGGAAAATTGAAAACAAAATCAGTGAATTATCAAATAGATTCGAAGAAAAAATTGAGGAAATATCGAGTAAAATGTCGGATATTACCGATTCTATGGTATCGAACAATGCTAAAATTACTGATATAACAGAAAAACTAAATAATATAGAGGCAGCTCATAAAAGAAACTCACTACGTTTTGATGGTATCGCAGAGTCAGATAACGAGAACTTAATGTCTGTTTTGATAAATATTTGCTGTAATATATTGAAAGTTAAATGCTGCTCTACAGATATCAACAATATATACAGACAGGGAAAATTTGATGTTGGCAGAAAACCCAGAACCATTTTACAAAAATACAAAAATATTTGTAAACGAAGATTTAACTAGGGCTCGATACTCATTATTATTAAAAGCCAGGATAATATATGGGAAAAGAGAAGTATGGAGTAATGGAGGAAATGTTTTCGCGAAGAAAAATGGTGAAATTATAAAAATCAATTCCGAATCGGATATATCAGCTAGTTAATGGTTCAGCATGTATGGACAACTTTATAGCGATCGTTTGTATTGTTTTTTTCCATGAAAGTTATTTTTTGTCAAACTTAAGGATATTGATAAAATTATTTGTTTTCAAAGTTTAAACACTTTACTAAAAATTGTTTATTTTGATTTCACGGGTATAGAGTTGGGTGCTTATTTTATAAAATTATTTTATTAATTTAAATAGATTCATATTTATAAGGATTTATGGGGAAAGATAGGTATATAATATAATTTTTCATTTTTCCTAAATTTAAGATTTGTAATATCAGAATGGTTTCAGAATTTTAATATGGATTTGTGACTTGAAGTGGAGCTAGACCACTTATACATATATTTATCTTCAATTTCCCATTCAATTGTGATATAGAAATATTCTTTTTATTTTTATATTTTTGATATAATTAGACTTGTAAATCTTTAATTTTTTTTTTAAGGTATGATTTTTCATAAATTTCAGGAGTACACACTCATTGTTAAATATAACAGATATATACGTAAACTTTCAAAATTGTAGAGGTTTAAACACAAAAACGACAGAATTTTACAGGAATTGCACTCAAGGTAATTATGATATAATAATAGCTGTTGAAACATGGTTGCAAGAGGGAGTAGCCGACGGTGAATTAGTTGACGTAAATATATACAGTTTATTAAGATCTGACAGAAATCTTGAACTTACTGGTAAATCTAGAGGTGGCGGAGTTTTAGCTGCGATAAAAAAACAATATAAAATATTAAATTTTTATAGCCACTGTTCTGTATTTGAAATACTAATAACTGAAATAAAAATAAATAATAAATGTAAGGCTTCAATTATGGGAGTATATATCCCTCCTAGTGCAAATTTAAATGATTATAAATCGTGTTTAGAATTTTTACAACTTCATGTAAAAGATGTCAAAAATACATTTATTTTTGGAGATTTTAATCTACCAGAAATTAAAGGGATTGATAACATAGATTATGATAATGCTAGCTCTAAAATGAATGTTCTAATTGATTTTCTTGGTTTCAATTCATTTATTCTCTATAATAATATAAAAAACTTTCAAGGTAAAACATTAGACTTAGTAATAAGTTCAAACGAAAATACAAACAACTGTAAGGTGTTGCAGGAACAGTTACCTGTAGTTGCAGAGGACAGGTTACATCCATCTCTAGAAATTAAACTTACTTTTAGCCAACCTAGTCGAAATGCTGTGGATAGATTAGCCGATAATGATAACAATTATAATTTTAAAAGGGCAAACTTTTTAAGAATGAGCGAAATGATGAGAGATATACTTTGGGATGAGGTAACAAATGAAAATAATGTAGATATTGCTCTTGATATTTTCTATAGAAAAATTTACAATATATTTGATATAACTGTCCCAAAATATATAACTTATAAAAATTATGATAAATTTCCACAGTGGTTTACACCGGAAATCAAAAAATTATTAAAAGATAAGAATAATTATAGAAACATATATCAGAGTATTATAATAATATATATTCGGAATCTAGGCGAAAACTCAAATATTTAATAAATATTGAACATCGAAAACATATACAACAAACTGAGCAAGCTATACATAATGACATTAACTGTTTTTGGAATTTTGTTAATAAAAGTAATAGTAATACGGGTGGGGTTGAGTCATTTTACTTTCAAGGTAATAAGATATTGCCGAGTGGAACAGCCGAAAAGTTTGCTGAATATTTTGCATCTGTTTATAGTAGTGAAAAATCGAAATACGACATGCATAAATCAATATATTTTAATAACCATGATGTTTTGAGTTTCTCTGAAGTAAGCGCAAAAGATTTTGATATTGCTATAAAGAAATTGAAACCAAAGAAGGCCGTCGGTGTTGATGGAATTCCACCATATATTTTAAAAGGTTGCCAGGAGTGGTTGAAAAGGCCACTAATTCATATTTTTAATTGTATTATTAAAACCAAGTATTTTCCAACCAAATGGAAACTATCTAAGATCACTCCAATTTATAAATCAGGCAGTAAGAAAGATATTGAGAATTATAGGAGTGTTTCATTAATGTGTGCTCCATCTAAGGTTTTTGAACAAATTATGTATGTTAAAATTTACAATCATGTTAAAAACAGCATAGTCGATCAACAACATGGATTTGTGTCAGGGCGATCTATAAATACAAACCTAGTATTATTCGGTGAATCTTAAGTCAAGTTTTTGAGGAAAGGCAGCAGCTTGACATAATTTATACTGACTTTCAGAAAGCTTTTGACAGAGTTAACCATGATATACTACTAGCAAAATTACATCAATTTGGGTTGTCGGGTAATTTATTAGAGCTTTTCAAAAATTATCTTCAGGATAGACAATTTATAGTAAGGCATAATGGGAATACATCCGGAAAGTTTCATGCTAACTCAGGGGTGCCATAAGGCTCTAATTTAGGACCATTACTTTTTATTTTATTCATAAATGATCTTCCAGAATACATTAATTTTTCGGACTATTTATTATTTGCAGACGATTTTAAGATGTTTAAAAAAATACAAACAGTTAGAGATTGCGTAATGTTGCAAAAGGATATTAATAACATTCATAAGTGGAGTATTGAGAACAAATTAAACTTTAATGTGAATAAATGTTGTATAATGTCCATCTCTCGTAAAAAACTAACCATAAATTTTGATTATCTAATCGGTTTGGATAATTTAAACAAATTGAATAAAGTTAAGGATTTGGGTTTAATATATCAATTTCGTTTTGGATCACATATAATTATAAATTAGTAAATAGTGCAAATCGTTCACTGGGATTCATTTATAGACAGACTTCCATTTTTTCTATTAAAACAATTAAAATTCTATATAATGTGTTAATTAAGCCTAAATTAGAGTTTGGATGTTTGGTGTGGGGAGATCAACCACAAATACATTTAGCGCCAATTGAAAAGACCCAGAACAAGTTTCTTAGATACTTGTATTTCAGGAAATATCATGTGTGGCCAGATTATACAAATGTAAGATCATCTAGATTAAGGGCAGAATTTAATATTATTTCATTAACAAGCAGACGTATACTAACAATGATGCTTTTTTTGTATAAAGTCATAAATAATATATCCACTTCAAGTAGTTTGCTACACAAAATTCCCATTAAAGTTCCTTCTAGGTTTACTAGATATCCACTCATGTTTGGAAAATTAAGGCAGACAGTTTGTTCCCCTCTTGAGTCCATGTTAAAACTAGCAAATGTGATACACAATATTAAAGACATTGATTGGACACTACCACCTGCAAGGTATAAAAAAATAATTAATGAAGATATAGCAGATTTTAGTATGTAAAAAAATATATGTCGTTTTTGTGTTTTTTTTTCTCTTTTTTCCTTTTCTTGTTTTTTAGGGCGCATTATTTCTTATAGCTTAATAAAAAGGATTTATTTTAGTTTTTATTAGTTTAAGTAATTATTATATTTAACGAAACCATGTACTACCTACTATCTATTTATAACATTTATTAATATTATATTTATTGTACTTACTACCCTTATAAAAAGGTTGTAAAACCTGTTTGGGTTTTTAAAAAATAAATAAATAAATAAATATTAATATTGATACATTGTAAAATATTGTAATGAAGTCAATTTTTCCTTAATCAGTTTTATTTCATTTATAATTTTTAATAAATAATAAACGCGCTCGAACTGCTTGTCCTAGGCCCATATATTTTTGAGTAACAGCTGCGCACCGCCGATCGACATATCGATGCGAGGTGGTACGTGGTACTGGTCGTTGGTGGGAATTTCTCTCGCTTTCGTCGCGAATTAAAAGGATTTGGAATTTGGAAAGGCACTTTATTTTAGCCAGTTAAAAGTAGAAGCCGCATTCAAATTAGCTCTACCATTGATAGATTTTTCGAATCGTGTTTATTAATCTAATAGGTAAAAAATCTTGTTTCAGTTTTTTATAGAAGAAACGTTTTATATTTATACCGCATTCATTTTAATTTTAAAAACCGATTTATCTTTTGGAAATAGGAACATTTTAATTAATTGTTGAGTTAAAAGATATAGTAGAACTAATGACGAGTTGACATTTGTAACATTTTTTGGATTCTCGGAATGAATTTGCTTTATAATGTTACACATTTTGCATTTAAGCGTAAATGTAGAAAAATATCCTTTACGAACTTCTTGAACAAGTGTCATGTCAGTAATATCGCATTCAAATGGTTTATGTTTTTCACCATTTAGCAATTGTTGAAAAAAATATGAAACGTCAATTAATCTTCTGCCGCTTAGAGAGGTATTTTCCGAATTTTCATGATCCATCTGCCCTCTAAAAATGTATTGCTATAAAAATGTAACAGATAAATTTTTTTCACAAACCTTTCAGTTTCAATTACTTCTTCTAGAAATAGTGGATGACTTTTGGTTGTTTCAAGAGAATTTATGGTATCTAAATTTTCTTTAGTAACACTGCAAAAGATTGGGTTATTATATTTTTATTTGGTTTGAAATTTGATTATACACAGTATTATTTTTATAAATTTTAGTACGCTTAAAAATATCTTTGTCACACACCAATGAGTTCTATCCAGTATTTAAAATAAAAAAAAATTGAAGAATATATACCAGATTTATAAATTGTACTAAAATTTTGCAAATATATTTTACAAGTCAGCCTTCTTCTATGTGAAGAACATAACTTATTTTTGTATGTAAAGAGAGGTACTTAAAGTAATTAATTATTTAAATTATAAATAAAAAACAACGGATATTGAGATTTAAATCAAAGTTGCTAATTTATATAATAAATATACAGGGTGTTACTTAATGATAATCCGCAATTTCAAGGGCGCATTTCTAC